AGCCGGTGATCGTTCTCCCTGGCTGTTCTTTGAAGGCTTTAATTATTAATAAGTAGTCTGTGTCATTACGTCTAGCAGTGGACGGTCATTGGTTGATAATATCTAAGGTAAAATATTTGGTTAAAAATACTAAGTATTTTAGGATCCTGGCTACACAGTTTTTGCAGCGGTGGGAACGAGAGGTGGGAATAGTCCCAAATACTAATGTCCATTTTCACCATCAATCAAGCTATGGTAACAAATAACAGGAATTTTGTTTTCATAGGGGTCACTTAAAAATTAGGGATTGATGGTGAAAACGGGCATAAGTATTTTTTTTATTTTTTTTATTATTGTCCCCATTAATTTGGCACGAAGCTGGCTTCTCCAATAAACCTTATAATGTGAATGTTTTTATTTTTAGTCTTAATTTGTGTCAACATTGACCGCTTTCATACAATTAAAACGGACAGGGTAGATTAAAACGAGACGTCTCAGGTCACGGAGGACGGACGTTTAGCCACAGTGTAGATGCATGAAGTAATACCACCTGTATTGTGATAAATTTATATTTGGTACAACAACAATAAAGGCTCCAAAATATAATAAATCATTAATGATGATCAACGACTCCTCCTAATAATGTTTAAGGACGTTGAATAGAAAGTTTGACGGTAGGAAAAATAGAAGTAATAAAAACTCCCTATATTATTCAGTAAAACGTTTATTGGATCATGATCTTGCCGATAGAGGCGCCATCGCATCACAGTCGTGACGGTGGAAGCGAATCTTAGAACAGATTATTATAATTATTACAACCTCCTTAACATTATAGGTATAGCAAAATCGCTAACAGAACAGTAAATAAGTTAACTTTAGTAATATTTCGACACTTAATATTAAAGATATCGATCCTAACTCTGTTGTTAGAGCTAGAAATAATAGTTTGTTAGTTTGTCAGCGCTTCGAGACAAAGAAGCGACGCAACTCACGCGCGTATTCCCGAACATTACTATGAGGTCTCACAGTGCGCGTGGACGCACAGGGTGATACGATACACGAACCAATCACAGAGCTCTATTGAACGCGGTTAGTTCGATTTGCTGCTTCACTTAAGCAAGCATAGCAATACGGGCGTTGGTCACAATTTTATATTGCTTGGAACAGATATACTGTCTTCAGTTACATTGTGGTTGTGTCACGCCATGTCGCAAGCCGACGGGAGTTAAATAAGGATTTATTAACGTAAATTTAGGCCCTTCTTCATAAATCAATTAATATCACATCAAACACATTGTTTATTGCACTTTCACAGTATTTTATTTTAACGTTTGAGGGTAGGTACTCGTAGGTAATTAGAGAAAATAATGTTAGAGTTGCATGTTTCTTAACTCTAGTATTGCAGGATCAATAAAAATATTTTTAAATTAAATAACACTGTAAATTTTAAGTAAATAAATAATAAACCCTCCACTATAGTGGAGGAGGCTCATAGTCCAGTAGTGGACTGTAAAGGGCTGTTGATGATGATGATGATGAAATAACACTGGTCAACAAAAAAAAAATTGTTTGTTTCCTGTGATTTTTTTTCTGTTTCTATCTCAAATTGACGCATATTTTTTAAATATGGCAACAGTTTTTCTCTAACAGCTTTTGTTTTTAAGTTATAGCTATCTACCCTCATTTAATATTTTTACTTAGATTTTTTATTTAATTGGACAAAAAAATATATTTTGTTGGTGTTTTCGATATTGCTTCGATATGATGATGTTGTGTGCTTAATCCAGATGGCTTCTGCTATGTTTGTGGTAAATATAATATTTGAAAAACATCGAAAACCTCTATCGGACTTGATGAAAACTGCGTAACATCGACACTTTAATATAAATATTTGAAATTAAGTAATCAAGACCACTAATGGGTCATTTGTGTTCTGAGAATAGGTAACATCTTTTAGGCCAACAAGGGGGCTACACAAAATTCCGGTTCCATGTGTATCTGGAATAGTCGTAACAAACAATAGCATTGGTTACAAAAAATTTGACCAGTGCGGCTTCCCGCACACACAACTTTTAGCTCTTCAGCTAAAGTTGATACAAAAAATTTTATAAACGTGCCTTTAGTTAGCCAAGACCGTATCACCGTACTTCCACCACTTTATATTAAGCTCGGCATCTTGAAACAGTTTGTGAAGGCGCCTGTTAAAAGTGAAGAATGTTTTAATTTTCTTTCACACAATTTTTCAGGATTAAGCACAGAAAACTTAAAAGCTGGTAATTTTTGATGGGACTCGCATTAGGCAACTGGTGAATGATCGTAATTTTAAGAAATCAATGAGTGAAGTCCAGTCCTAAGCTTAAAATGATTTTTTTTAATTATAAGTAATTTCCTAAGCAAAAAGAGATTGTTGAGAGCATGCTATCCAACTTGCAAGAGCTAGGGTGCAACATGGGCATAAAAATACACTTCATATACTCGCATTAACATCGATTTCCACAAAATGTGGGTGATTTTAGTGAGGAGCAGGATAAAAGTTTTCATTGGAATTTTCTGACAATGGAAGAAGGTTATCAGGGGCGTGGTGCTCATATATGAATGGCAGACCATTGCTGGAGTTTGCAACGAGATCTACTCAAACTTGCCTATTCAAGGAAATCATATAAAAGATCATTTGCTAGTGTTCAATAGAAATTTTATTAGCACAATGTATAATTTTTCTTATTTTTTTGTCAAAATAATAAAACTCTATATTTTAAAAAGTAAAGCTGTTGACGATCTCCCAGTATTTTTTTCATAATCAGGGCCATAGAAATACCCAATAACAGAAAAAAAATTTAAGGGAAAAAAACATGTGTTGACCAGTGTAATAAGTATAAAGAATGCTGATAATTATATTAATTGTTAAGATTACTAAGCAGTTAGCTGAGTGCATTTTTATTTACCTAAGTATATAGATACTGATGTTAGGTGTAGAGCTGTGTAAAGTTACACCCGTATTCACAAACGATGCTTGCTTAAGTGAAGCAGCAAATCGAACGCACAGCGTTGAATAGAGCTCTGTGATCGGTGCGTGTGTCACCCTGAGCGTCCACGCGCACTGTGAGACCTCATAGTAATGTTTGTGAATACGGGCGATAGAGTCTATTTTCAGAGTGGTACATTTAGAGTCAAATAGTTGGTGACCTCCAAAGTGGCCAAAAAGTTGACAACACCACCTTAACCAATGAGGGCTATCGTTTTAGCGCTCACCAGTTAGCGCCACTGTAGAGTAAGGTCCTGTCACTTGCTAGTAGCGAAGACAGTGGCGCCAACTTGTGAGCGCTAAAGTGGTAGGAGGACTATCGTATTTGCACTCATCAAGATGGCGCCACTGTAGAGTAAGGTTCTGTCAATCGCCAGGGGTGCCAACTGTTAAGTATAAATACGATAGCCCTCATTGTAACAAAGACGTGTTACCAACCCTTAGGCTACTTTGGGTGTCGTGTCACGAACTATTTGACGCTGACTGTACAAACTACGTGGTATGTAAGCACTCAAATATCCTAGAAACTAGAAAGGCTTGAATCTGCTTAGATTGACCACAGAAAACTTAATAGGTACCTAACTCTAGTTTTGTAATAGTTGGCAACACTGCAGCGGCCATATTTTAATTTAACCTCATGAAAGACATTATACTGGACTGTGGTGTATATTATATAACTAAGAAGAATAAACTACAAATTGCGAGTAATAACAGCCTTTTATTAAAATACCGAACCTACATAATTAATACAAGTTTTAAGGATTGTTTTGTACTAATATTATAAGTCTAGTGATGAACTCAATCAGTGCCTGAGGTAAGGGAGCGGCACGGGAGGGGTGACAATTTATGACATTGACATCTTATGACGTGACATGACAGAGCATATAAATCTAAAGTCTTGCTGACGTTGGTTACAAAAACATCCTCCCATGTCATTCATTCCCTAATTGTACCTTATGTGTTCCTTTTCTTTCTATTTCTTTTTATGTGGTGTACAATAAAGAGTATTTATTATTATTATTATTCCCATACCTCAGACACAGACTGAGTAATATAATGCGCTATAATAATTCATTTTAAGACTTTTCAGCAGTTTAAACGTTCATGACTCATTTAAAGAACTTTAATACACGGTTAAAATACTCTTCAGTAATTCAGGAATAAGTCGTGTTACTTTCATTTGTGGTCAATTCGTCGCTTGCCTCTCTAACTGACGTAACTGACATTTTGGGCGAAAAAATTTTAGGCGATTAGACAGATCGATTCGTCTTGCGAAATTGATTAAGATGGTGTAGATAACCCAGTTTCTAAAAAAATGTCAGATACGTCAGTTAGAGAGGCAAGGGACGAATTATTTATGCCAAGTAACAAAATATTTATTGCGACCTCATTTCTGAATTAAGATGTCCGTGTTACAATGTGCACTTCATTAAAGATGCTTGAAGCAAATGCTGATATTATTACAACTTACAATTAAGTTTAATTTAACATAACTACTTTCCTCAATAAATACTCATAAACTAAGAAACAACTCTATGTGCACACCACACAAAACTGAAAAATGAATGAAATACAGAACTGTTTTTCTCTGCATTTCCTTGCCTGCATTAGCATAGGTAAGCCTTTTCATAGAATGCATAGATAAGGTTTCTACCTTATCAGATAAGGTAGTAATGCAATGTTTCTATGCATTCTATGAACGGGAATTACTGGGATTCCCCAAGATTTTCCCGATTTTCGTAGATTGACTGTAGCCAAATCTGCAATCAGTTCGATGAAACAATTTTGCAGCTCTGAAGAAAACTCTATGATGCAAATAACAAGAGTTTTCCTCAAATCTCAATTAGTTCTGCTCATTCAATTGCTTTTATTTCGGTCCTTTAGTCACTGCACGCGATCTCATTCACAAAAATACGCACCCTGAATAACACGTTTAAAGTGTTTAGCGAATAAACAATCTGGCGCTCTATATTATTATGTTTTCGTGGCATATTAAAATCAGGTGTGAGCGGCGCCAAGCGCAGTTAGTTCGCGACCGTCAAACCTCGCTGACGCCGAGCCGTTTGACGTTTAGTTTCCCGCGCGCGCCGAAAGTGACAGTTTGAAACTTTTTAAATAGAAAAAAAAGTTAGCAAAAAGTTTGATTTATACAGCCAGTATTTTTTTTCGCCAATAATGGCCAGTTGATTTCGAAAATATTTTAGTGAGAAAAACTGATTTACGTTTTCGGTTTATTTGCATTTTCTGACATTTTGGTATCTTCAGGCTGTGTTAGTGGTGACAAAGGCCGTCATGGCGAACAAGTGAGTAAAATAGTATTTTACATAACTTTAAGGACGTATTCAAAGCGTGTGCGTCACTGTTACGTGAAGCTGCTGAATTTTCGTAGTCGTGATTGTTATGTTTACTTTACATGACTTTACGCAAAATGGTTTAAACTATACAAATATTAGATTCCTGTATTTGGTTTATTCATAAAATACGTCATTTACAGTGACAATGTTTAATTTTTTCATGGCATTTTTTTCAGTGCACAGAAATAAGCTGCAATAGGATCAAATGTGCCAAAAATCTTATTCAAAATATTAATATATTCGTCTCTCGACTTTTTATGTACATTTATCTTCGAAAGGTCACGTCAACTTATCCACCTTGGTAATAATTATAATAATATCGTCGAAAATACTTAAAACGTAAGACTAGGTAACTTACATAAAGATATGAATAAGTAGAGACGAAAACTAGACACAACAATAATTTACAGAAATCCGTTTTGTTCACAAATGGTACGTTTCCTAAGTTTGAAACTAGTACTGGCCATGATAATATTCTATTTTAACTAAAAAAGTTTTTAAATTAGTCACCTCTCTTAATATTTCTCTCATTTTATTTCGAGATAGGTAAGTAATTTACAATTGTTTTTATCTAATACAGACGGCGTTAAGAGCTGATCTTTCAATCGTTGGATAACTTTTAACTGAAGAATAAACTTGCCATTTTTTTGACATATTTTCCTCACTGAAGCTATCAATGTGCCAAACTTATTCGTTATAAGTTATCCAACGATTGAAAAATCAGCCCAAAAACAAGCTAAATATGGTGTGCATCATAATGATTTTTAAAAGGTGTGATTTTGCAACATTAATGACTAAGGACAAATTTTTCAATCGTCTGATAATTTTTAACTGAAGAATAAGTTTGGCATATTGACAGTTTCAGTATAGGAAATATGTCAAAATGAGAAGTTTATTCTTCTTCTTCTTTTTTTGATGATGTTGGCAATACACGTCGAGGTCGACAAGTTTATTTATCTGTTAAAAGTTAAAGCTGATGATTGAAAAAATTGCCCTTAGTCAGTAGTGCTGACTGTACTCCAAAATAAATATTTGCAGTGTGAAATCTCAATCGGTATTCGCAGGAAGAGATACGGTATCAGATAGCCGCCGAGGCGCTGATAATGAAGAAGTGGTGTCAGGGATTCGCGATATTGCCAGATTATACTGTTTAGCTGTTCAGCGAAAGGCTGACAAACGATAGCTCTCTAAAACGAAGATAGTCATAACATGAGTAACTGTAACAAATCATTTCATCAGACAAATTATTATTTATGAAAAGATTTTATCGTGATTCTATATATCCGGCACTAAATCAATTTCTTTGTTAGCGAAAAAAGTTTGCAAACAAATACCTAGATGTTTTTTTATACATTCGTAAATAATTCAGTTAACCTTATTTACTGAGCATTTTTCCCACTTTAGATGGTAGATACCGTTAAAAAGTTTTCTCAACACTGGCCGACTATGAAAACTAACAGCTTCCCTACCAAAAACTCACAGCTTTGCCATACCATACAACAAAACTATATTTATTATTATTATCGGTTTTTGGGCCTTCATTTGCGCCAGCTCGACCAAGTTTGATCTATTGTGGCAGCCCTTGTCTTTAGAGTTCGCTGCTTAGTCCCGTTGAGTCTATAAATTTCCAGATTCTTTGGAGCGTGATATCTGCTATCTCATCCGGGTGCATGATGTGTCGCCCGAGATGGATACTTCTTTTCAAAAACTATAAGTTCTCCTTGTTGACTACGGAACCCTAAACATTACAGACGTTGAGCTCTAAACCCAGCAATTATGCAAATATAATGTCAACTCGATATTTGGCAATGTAACAAATAAAACAAATCATTTTACGTTTTTAGGGTTCCGTAGACCTAGCAAGAAACCCTTACAGTTTCGTCATGTCTGTCTGTCCATCTGTCTGTCCGAAGTTTTGCTTGAAAACTTTTGTTGTTCGAGTAGGGCGTCCCTCCCTCCAAAAACTAAACTATTGGCTTGAAAAATGTGGAAAAATTCATAATAATACTGCTTTTCATGAACTTTCAAGGAAAACTATATCGGTTAAGATAGATCAGTTAGTTTAAGAGTAATAGTCATTTGACTCATGTATTTATTATAAAATTTCATACCTCATAAAAATTGCTTAGAAGATAATTAACTTTTTAAAAAAATAAAACCGACTTCAAATGCGTGAACACAAAAAAAAACTAAAAATTAAAAATATTGCGTATAAAAAAGTTCATCCCCCATTTTCCACCCTTGGGGGTGAAATATTTTCTTCAAATTCGCATGAAACCACCCTTTTGATAATACCTATTCAACAAAAAAATAATCGTTCAAATTGATTTATAATCGGCGGAGATATTGCGTATAAAAAAGTTCATCCCCAATTTTCCACCCTTGGGGGTTGTTTTTTCTATTATTAAATTTAAATGGGACCACCCTTGAGGTATTACCTATACGCCGAAAAAAGATTTGTTCAAATCGGTTCATAATTGGCGGAGATATCGCGTAACAAACATAGAAAAAAAAACATACGGGTCGAATTGAGAACCTCCTCCTTTTTTGAAGTCGGTTGAAAATATGAAAAGTGACTTTAGATGAAGTAATTGCTTGCTTCTGAAATATGTTGTGGTAACGACGGACAACTACGGAACCCTACACTGCACTGGGCACGACAAGCACTTGGCCGGTTTTTTTATTTACATTTATGAGTTATGGATTATTGCAGCGCAGGATCAGGATTCACACTTCGCATTGCATTAGCAACCTAATCACCATTTAATTAATTTGATTTGATTATAGTGATGTGGGTATGTCCAAAATAATCGATGAATGATTACTCGATACTTTGAAAGTTATGGTAGAGATTTATAAACTTTGAAATCTTACCTGAAAAACTTTGATTAATTATTGTACGATTTTTCGATTCCATTTTCCGTGAAAAAAATGTTTTTGTGTGAATCTCTTAACAAAAAATTACAGGTTGAAAACGGTTCATTAGTGTCATCTATGGATGTTAAAAATATGCTATGAACGAACATGCTGTTTATAAAATTTCATAAGGTCAATTTCATTGTTTTATAAATGATATTAATTGGTGACTTAACCGTGTAATTATCAAAGCATGCCGCCTGAAATATAATAATTTAGTTACGTGTAGTTTATAATTTGGATTAACAATTGGATTAAATATGCAATTTATACAGTTTTTAGATTGAAATAAGTATGAGCATAACAAAAAGACCGCTGTAACAAACATACTTTATAAAAATAACACAAGAATGCCTTGGTACTCGTAAATAAACCGGTGTAAATCTCTACCTCCACGCTCCACCACATTTTATCAAATCCTTATATTTTTTTTAAACTGGAACAATCGAGAACACACCGTTCATAAATTCGAATCCCGAACGTCAAACGGCTATTAATATTTCACGATTTAAATTTCGAATGCGATTGTTAAAACGATTTTAATCGGTCAAGTGGCATCAAAATATTTTCGGCCAGCATTCGCCTTGGCATGGATATTTATTTTGTTTTTTAATATCTATTATCGCTTCCAGACCGATTTATATTATTATTGGTCTAGTCTAGATTTTTTATGTTACTACTCGGAAGCTGTGACGTAGGCTAAAAGACGATTACGATGTTACGCTTCGTGTTTAAATGGACGATAGTCGATAGTTTGTTAATGGATTGTAGAGGAAAAGAGGTTCTAAATGAGCCATTAAGCCGTTTAAAAGTATAATTTTATTTAAATACTGTAGTATGATATCACGATGAAGTTATTTAAGTCGGTTTCTTCTTACATTAATATTTGACAGTTTTACTGCAATGGTTAGCCGTTAGTTTTTCCATTAAATACACGAATGATGTAATTTTTGTAGTTAATGCTCCTTTTGTGGTTAAGTAAGACTCACATTTGTCTGTTTTTTGTGAATCTTACGGTAAACTGGACAGAGTTATTAAGTCAAAACATGCGCATTGTCATTCAGATGCCAAGGAAACTGTCAGAGCCAATAGTTTAGAGAAATGGCTGTATTTATGTTACAATTTACATAATGAGATGAGGCTTAGTAGGGATGGCACTTCGAAGTTTAATTATTGGCAATACTATCCCACATTCAAAAGTGATTGGTTGATTTTCAATGATCAATAGTTTTATTTTTATTATAATGTTCATCAGTGTCATAAAATCAATCCAATGGGCTTTATTTAATCATCGGATAAAAGTTGATTTACGTTTTAAAAATAGACCTTTAGGTATTAGTTCTAGTCTTATTAGTTTATCGAAAATATTAATATTGTATTAAGAGTAAGGAGCATCCCTAATTTTACATTATCTGTGAACAGTGACAACTGACATCCCTGACTGACTGATTATGATCCCGGCGCCGGCGCCAACGAGCCAGTAACTTAGCATGCGTAAAAAGAACGAAAAAAACTTCATGTGAAAGTTTTTGTGCCAGTTCCGTTTTGTCTTTTTAGCTGTGCGTTTTTTTATAAACGTTCGAATTTTATATTAATCAGTCTTTAAAAGAGGCCAGTGTATAAATTTTAAATCAGACTCTGAAATAAAGTTTTTACGCCTTTTACGCCATAAACTGGGGCCTCTCTACCAAGATAAGTCTAAAATGTTAGCTCTAATTTTATCGACATCTATCGACATTTAACATGGTATTTCAACACCTACTCAATCATTTATTTTAATTGTTTCTATTACGAACTTATAAACTAAGTAAAGTATGTAGAACATTAAAGGGGGCGTCCATAAATTACGTGAGACCTTTAGGGGGGGGAGGGGGTCAACGAAAACCTCACTAAATCTCACGTGGGGGAGAGGGGGGGTCTCGGAAAATATCACGTAATTTTTCCCGCAAGAAATAGAGTAAAATTTCCAGAAAACTGGGTTATTGAAGTAAAAAAATGTTTTTTTTTATGATGATAATGACAATTTATTCTAA